ATTCACCTCTTCTTCCACAGTTTCTTTGTGGCTCATTAATTCCTTTTAAAGGGCTAACTTAAATTCAGGGTGTGATTGTAAAAGGATCTAAACCTTGTCATAACTTTATTTACTGAACTGTCACAATTGTGCTCGAGCAGCTGGGCAAGCTGATAGAAGAGCTTCAGCTTCATCCCGTGTCAGACAAGCTTCAGCTTTATTGGAACTTTTTGGTAATCGCCAATGTCACGGCAGCATTAGAGCTTCATATCAAATTTAACTGCCTTCCTCTCGCAATGAGCAGCTACAAAATTTGTTTCAAGTGCAGAGCCAAAATTCAAGCATACCTTTTACACCTTTAAAGTCTGCAAAAAATTTTGATAAAATATTTAATAACCAAACAGTGATCGCTTTTTTCCGAACGTTGATGCCTTTCAATCCTTATTGAGGATCCTTGCAGGAAATTTGAAATCTGAAGTTTGCAGAGACCTGAGCTTCCAAACTCTCTTAATTTTGACAGCAATGTCATAGGCGACAGAATCAGGAAATATCATAAGAATTGTATAAATGGTGGGAGATGACACCCCTTCAATCTTTTCAGATAATTCCACCTACAACGACGGGTGCAGCTACAACAACAACCGAAGCGCCTACTGTCGTTACTACTACTATTAGTGCTACTACTACACCATCTACCACGTGTATGACATCATATTCCCATCCTTTTCAGATTCTTGTCTATGAAATCTAATCATAATCTAGGCGTTGATAAGGTAAACCCAAGGAGTGGTGTATCAGACTGTCCACAACGTCAATATCTGTGTAATGATCCCATATATTATGCTCTAATGACGGATCAATGTCCACGAACTTGTAATAGATGTGACGGTGGTACTCCTCAACCAAGTAATCCCAGATGTTTGTTGGTTGTTTACAGAGTTCCATCTTACTAAAACAATACTTCCAGCATGCCGTGACTTGGTCCACCCTCGAACGGGAGTGTCTGATTGTCCACAGAGAGCCTATCTGTGTAGAGACCCAATTTATGAGACACTCATGCGGCAACAATGCCCAAGAACGTGTGGATACTGTTAATCTTTTTTCTCTCAAAATGAATTTTGCTTGTTGGGCTTGTATGCGATAAATGTTGCTTTCATTTTCGTGCCAATCGTGTAATATCGCCTTCACCCTTAAGGTCGGTAAAAGTTTCAAGATAGAAAAATCATAGAGACTTTTTATTTAATGTGACTCTTGACTTCAGTACAGATCCTCAAAATTAAAATTTTTTCGAGTTTCCTACCTGTCGACGTCAATCACATATAAACACTGATGTGTAACTCCATGTTGAAATT